CTTGAAGGCCACGGAAGGAAGCTGGGGCTGAGGCTGCACAATGGCAAGGTTCGCTTGCTGATGCTGCTGCTGCTGCTGCTGCTGCTGCAACTGCTGAACGGGTGCCTTCTTGGAGAACATGGCGGTGAAGTCAATCTCCGTCTCCTCCTCTGGTGGAGTGGGCTCGACGCGGGCACGCTTCTCGGACGACGTCGGCGCCGAGGGCGAGGGGGCTCTCTTTAGGTCCGAGATGATGGCGCTTTTGATAGTCTCCTCAAGGCACTGGCATCGACCTCCGAGCGTGCACCCGCCACATCCTGTGACGGTGTCGGCAAGAATTTCGTTGGCACAGGAGCATCCTTCAGGGCCGCATGACCCGCATCCAAACGGGGCGGGAGAGTCTTCCATGTGGGTTGAGTCTTGAGGGGAGACGATCTGTGAGATGGAAAAGGGCTGGTTTGAGTGGCCAGCCGATGGGGTGGGGGGATGCTCATGGTGAGCGATTTGAGAACCTCGGCGTTGGGGAGACGGCAGGCGTCTCGGGGCGGTGGCTTGCTGCTCGTTCCAACGTCTCTTTTGGCTTTCGAGTTCGGACTCGGCTTTGACGCGATCCTTTCTCTCGCGATCCAACATGTTTTCGAGAACGAGGCAGCGGGATTTGAAAGATTGCAGCTCCATCTCGAGGCTGTGGACCTTGTCCTTTAGGTCTTTTTCGACCTTTTCGTGACCTTCGCGAATCTCGTCGAGCTGCTCTTCCAGCTCGCCAACTCTAGCGGCCCTACGCTCGCGGAAAGCCCTCTGGGCAGCACGGTTCTGGGCCTTGCGCTTGGTGGGTGGCGTATCGGTGGCAGGCTTGCGGCCGGGCTTGGGCCTGGGAGGGATGACCCATTCCTTGGTGGTCATGGACATCTTGGGGGCCTCTGTGACGGGCGGGGGACTGATTACGGAGGCCATGGACATTTTGTTCACGACCTGAGGCGGCCTGGCTGAGATGGGTTGTTGAGCTGCGTTCGGTCTGATGGCAGGTAGTTGGTGCGGGGCGTGGGAGGCATTTGTCGGTCCGCTCGGATTTGGTGTGGGAGGACCGCCGGGTGTGCTCGCGGCAGGCGAAGCGGCGGAAACGGGCGTCGATACCACCGAGTTGGAGCGAGATGCGGCCGAGTAGAGGCTTCGGGCGTCGGTTGCGGGAGGTGAGGTGACGGGAGAAAAGGTCGACGACGAGTGTTGCTGCTGCGACGTCTGGTTGTGGGAGGAGGAGGATGAGTTGGTGGTGGTGGTGGTGGTGGATGAGGAGGGAACAGTGGTGGAAACACCTGAGGCGGCCATCTTGGTGGAAGGAATGACCTAAGGTACCTAACGCTAACAAACAGCAGTGTTCCGCAGGCGGGGTCCGCTAAGGCCGCTCATTCGCTGGCGGGTGGTGGGATATCGCCGCTGACAGCTGGTGGCCGAGTGGCGGGGTGTGGGTTGCAGATGTTTTTGCCAGCTGGTAAATCCGAGGGTGCGGTTCGGCGCTCTCTCGGCTCTTGAGATCTGATAAGAAAATGGTGGTGCAATTGCTGCGCTAATAAGGTACCGATGTTGTAAGACCGAGGGGTGATGATGGTTTTTTTTTGGTTTTTTTTCTTTCCCGTGTTTTTTCTTCTCGTTCGTCTTATATTTGTGATGCTTGCTTGCTTGATTGACCTGTTCGGAGAGCAACCGGTGCTGTACAAGTTGATATGATGCTACTGTTTGGCGATCTGGGCTGATGCCGAGCAGAATCAAGCAGATACCCCTACAGCGAGATGCACAGCTGATAGGTCTGCCTGTCTGCGCTGTACGGAGTAGTGTTATGCAGACGGGCGTGGTGGTGCGCGTGTGTTGCCGAGTGGGTGACAGACACCTAGCCGGAAGATGATGTCGGCAGCGAGGTCAGGTAGCTGGCTGACTCTGTTGTAATTGCTTGTGTAAGTGATTTTTGACGATTGAAGCCAGGAGATCAGTATGTGTAAGTGGGAGAGAGTCAATGTTGATGAGGTGAAGAAATGTTTGGTTTGCGGGCTTGTTCCTCTTTCTTCCGACACTTCGGAGGATGGTGGGGAGGAAGGAAGGGATTGGAGGGACAGCGCGGAACTGGGACAGTGGACAGTGGGAGGGGGGAAAGGGCCCAAGGGGAAGGGGGGAAGGGGGGGAGGACGACATTCAAAAAGGAATTTTTGATCTGATTGATAAGATTATCTTGCTCGCAAGGCCCCCACCAGGGCCTGCGCTAGTCTTTTTTTCTCTTTTTTTCCTTTTTTTTTCCCCCTCTGTTTCCCACCCGGGCACTGCCTGCCAGAAGTACGTCGTCCTCTCACTCGTCCGGTCATTACCCACTCATTTCCCCCATTTCACTCACTCACTCACTCCCTCACTCACACACAGTCTCACACACCTCAGTCACAGTTATTCTCACTTACTCGGAAAATGGCCCCGACATCCGTACAGTAAAGACACTACCCTCACTCATACTTTTTTACTCACTTTCAGCGTTTGGCACACTCTCTCAACCCTGTCGGGCCACACTGGGTGGAATCGTTCGATGGCTCCTGTGGCTTTCCGGCCTCCAGCTCCATTCCGACCCTGCGATCTCGGACCTTGTTTCTTGGGCTTGGCTGGCCACAACACACTATGAGTGTTACTATGTAGGGACTTTCAGGGCTACACAGCCCGGCTTCTCCCACGGATCACCGCCTTGGTTGACCATACGATCCACCGTCAATTGGCTTTGATCCCCTTGATGGCTGAGTTTCCATGTCGTAACACCCATCCATGCCAGCCTCTCTCTCTCACTCTCTTCCGTCACCTCTGTGCCTCTTTAATCTGTCCATGTGTGGATGTTTGACGGTGCCAAGCGTAGCCACATCCCGAGGGAATTGATCTCAGGGTCTGCCGATGTCGCTGCCCTTGCCCACCGGGCGAGTGCATGATGTGCGTGACCAGTGATGACCGTGGGATAAAGTTACATCTACTACCATAGTATAGAGGCCTGTCACTCCATCAACAAATGGGAGCGGCCCTTTGTCCGATGACTCCCTCGTAAGCCGAGACGTCCGTGGTTCTACTCTAAAACTACCTTACAGTAAGGCATGAGTAAACAACCATAACGACAGGAAACCAGCGGGGGAAATCAATTTGACACAAAGTTTGATGAGGCTTTTCGGCAATGTCTACGGAGTACAGAGTGTAGAACAGCGAGTCAGGATCGCCGAGGTCTTGATTGTACTTGCACAATTCAGTCGCATAAAATAGACACAATCAATGGTACGAACAAAGGAGATCTGTATCCATCCAGTAACTTGAGCCGAAAAAAAAAGGTACCTGATAATCGGGGATTTATGCCTCAATGGAACCTGCTTCAGGTGTCACCGCCAGTCGTCCAATGGCCTTGGAGCAGTTCATCAGGGAGATCAGAAGGTACTTGATAAGATGTCACCATCCTCCATCGCCTCCAGCTCCAATCCGTATTACCTTGCGCATACGATTTACGGTTCAACCGACCGAGCGTGCATCCTTCATCCACTCACACCTCGTGTCACTCGCCCGTCATTGGGCCATTTGATCTTTCACCCCCCCGAGCCCCCAGCCGCCGCTTCCTTTCCGTAGGCTCACATGAGACGCTCATTTTTTTTTTCCCAGTCTACTTTGTATTAGCTTTGGGGAATCGCTTGAAACGTCTGCTTTCGGGATCGTCTCTAGTCTCCAGTCTCCAGTCTCCAGTCTCCAGTGCTGTATGGATACTATTGACGAGCCAACCACTCGTGACCCAACACTTCTCTCGTGTCGTGACTGTGCGTAATCAGATCGGCCCTTCATCCCACATAGGCTGATCCCAAGTGGAGGCCCCAGAAGTGGGTGATGGGAGGGTGGGAGCCACGCGAGAAAAGAGAGCAAAATTTACGTACATCGTGGAGTGCTTCACTAATAGACAGGTACTACAGTGCTACCTCACTGGAGTCTGCATCCGTTCCTTTACTGCGTATGGCGGCCGCGGTACCTCGCACCTCACGAGGTTTTGACGGCGGCAATAATCGGTTCGCACTAATTACACGAACTGTCTTTGCCTGACAGGCTGGGCCGAAGGGTGGACTCCGAGAACGCTTTGGCATCACAAGGGATCCCCTTCTTACAAGGCAACACCAAGCGCAGCGCGGGCAGTTCGGCCTCCGCCCGTTCTGTCGGACATCTTTCAGGTCAAGTTGAGTTTCGGCCGGCTCTTCATAGCGGGAATGTCAATTCACCTAGCCGCTTACCTTAGAGAAGTACATCTTATATATTCAATCAAGGTAACTTCGAGGTGTTGATTGCGTCTTCTCACCAATGACCGCATCAGAGATGATGATGCGCGGTCATCGTCGTAAGAGCCGAGCAGATTGATCGCCGCATCGTCACTGCCAGAGACACGGCAGGGTTTAGATTTATCCAATGCCAGCACCGACTCCAACTCTGAACCAACCCTGCTTTGTGACCCTCTCTTTCTTTCACAAAATCCTCATTCACGACTGGTTGACGACTTCAAAGTGACCACTTGGGTTGTTTGAAGGTTGCGCAACCGTGTCCACATGCAGTGAGAACTGTGGGAATCTGGGCGGGGGCTACCACCTACTTCACTATGTGTGTGGCCCACGCACTGTTCAACCACTCCAATTCTCACAGTGACCCCCGCGAAACACCAACGTGTGGACCTCTGAGAAAGCTGCATTAAGCTATCCGTACCTATCCAACTCCATCCCGCCCAAAGTCGACCAACAGCTGCCATTCGAACCACCCACCCACCTCTCGACAGCAAAGCGCCCCAACAATTCCCGATCCCGGTCCTCTAGCTTCGAGATAGCTACCTTGCCTAAATTTGACGTCGCCTTTGCTCCGAGCTACCACATCTTTGCGCCGAACCTCGACCACCGAGCCACCACTGTCGTCGTTTGAAAGGGTAAAAGCACAACCCAACCAATCTAACCCAAAGCAACGGGCCAACGGGCAACGGCAACCGCACAAAAACCATGGCCAATCTCGGCATCCAATCGCCAACACGGCAAACGGCAGCCTTCCACCTCCCCTCCTCATCCTCCTCCTCCGTCGCCTCCGGCTCCGGCTACGAAGACGACGACGCCCCGCTCCCTTTCCCCGCCGCCCTCCCGCGATCCGACTTCCTCGCAACCGACTTCCACCCGGCAAACTACCTCTCCGCCCTCCCGCACCGGCACCAGACCCTCGACGACCTCAAAGCCGAGCTCCGCGATCGCAGCGCCGCCATCAGCGCCGAGCTGCTGGAGCTCGTCAACGGCAACTACACCGCCTTCTTATCTCTTGGCAACGAGCTGCGCGGCGGCGATGAGAGGGTCGAGAATGTGCGTGTCGCCATGCTCGGTTTCCGGAGGGCCGTGGAGGAGATCAAGGGCAAAGTGAGGACGCGCGGAGAGGAGGTTCAGGGGTTGAGCGGGGAGTTGAGGGAGGTGAGGAGGGGAATTGAAGCCGGGAGGAAGATGCTTGAGTTGGATGAGCGGGTGTCTTCGCTCGAGGAGCGGCTTGCGCTTGCAAGCTTACCGGGAAAAGCAAAAACGGGCGATGGCGAGGGAGAGGAAGAGGATGGTGGCTGGGACGCGGATGACAGCGAGGAGTCTGATGAGGAAGAGGATGATGATGATGATGTGGGCGGCCTGGTGGGTAGCAGCCCTGCGAAGCTCGCGGGCTTCGCGCAAGATTTCTGCATCGTCGAAGCTCTTGCGGATGCTATTGGGCGGGATGCCCCGTTCGTGGTCAAGGCTGAGGCTCGGATGGTGAGGTGTCGGAACACAATCCTTCTTGATCTCGGCACGGCGATGAAGGAAGCACGCAGGGCGGGTAAGAAGGGTCAGGCGAGGACGGTCAAGTACCTGGGCTTGTACGGATTGCTTGACGCCCAGGCCGAAGCGATCAGAGCTCTCAAGAGCAGTTGAGCTGGATTGCAACAGCACACGACGAACAGAAGTAAAAGGACTCGGCTGTCACAGAGTAGCGATGCATATGATACCCAAATCAAAATCTCCAAACATGTTCTAGAGCGCTATGCCACTTTGATACACGTGTAATAAAAACACCTATGATACAGTTCATCTAAACACCCTTCCCTTTTCTTTTGCCCCTTTTTTCATCTGGATTTTGTACATCTTTACATGACGTTGGACAGGTGAGCCGGCGTAACCTCCTCATCCGTGGAGTCAAAGTTTCCGTTCAAGCTGAAGCCCGGAGCCTGGGAAGAGCTCAGCACAACCTCATGAACCTCCTTGTGCGTCTCGAGCTCCGCGAGATCAGACTTGATGCTGGCCACAAATGCCTTGACGTTGGCAGACAACATCTTGGGCGTGAAACCGAGCTGCCCGATCGCCATACGAATGACACCGGTACGCTCGCGGTAGTTGTCGGCGCCCATCGTCTCACGGATGGCACTGGAGATGTTATCGGTAATTGTCTTCATGCGGCGGTTGGGCATGAGACCCTTGGGACCGAGGATGCGACCCAGGGCGGCCTTATTGAGCGCCGCCTCGCTGTCGGTGTGGCAGATGAGCCGGTTGAAGACAATGTTGTCGTTCTTGATGGCCTCGAAGACGGACTCCTGGCCCGCGACGACGGCGCCGGCTTGCAGTGCTTGCTGCGCGATGGGGCTTCCTTCGGGGCAGATTACACCGACGCGGATGTCGGATTTGACGGGGTTAGGGAGACGGATGCGATTCTTGACGACGGCGCCGTTTCGGGGCGTCTTGAGGTGGACGTGGATCTCGTACTTGATGGACTGGGGAGGGCGGCCGACTTCGAATGCGCGGAGGTAGCTGCGTCGATGTCAGTTGGGGGAATGAACTCATTGTTCTCGTGTAGAATGTATACACACCGCATGGCATCGCAAAGAGAGAATTGAGGGCAGTTCTTGACGTTGTAGGTCTTGAAGTCCTTGGAGAGCTTCTTCTTCTTCTTGTCCGTCTTCTTGTTACCCCCCTGGTTGCTCGCGCATCGTGTCTGCTGGGCGACGGAAGGGATGAGGAACCGCGGTATCGTGGAGGCTGTCGGTCTTGCTGAAGCTGCGAGGCTGAGCCGGGCCATTGAGGCCATGCATTGGTTCGTTGACGCCATCACGGGGCTTTGGGTATATGTGATCTTTTCCTTTTGGAGTTGCTTCGCCAGAGCTGACCTCGGATCGTCTCGCGTGCGAAGCTCTGGCCAAAGCCTGCAGAAAAATTGGTGTGGCCTCACAGTTCAGGCAAAAGGTTGTTATCTTATCGGATATCTTATCGAGCTATGGGTGCCGTGGTGTTCCAGGTTCTCACCTCCCGGTCAACTCAGGTAAGATACGTATCTAAGACCGGTCCGGTCCCGGTGTGAAGATACGTACACTTTGCCTCGAAACACACCACTGTCACCAGAGCTTTCTTTACCTTGGACGAAGAGTCATAATTAGTTGCCATCGGTTGAAAAGTTTTTCAAAATCTTAAGAGGAATGCATATATAAGATATGACTGGTCTCATTGTAGTTCTCTAAAATGCATCAATTGTTTGTGACTCCAGGACAGAAAGAGCCTTACGAATACATCGAGTAAGGTACCTTGCACCACAGTGACTTACAGGAGAAGAAGCTGCCCGCTGAGCCACCAATCAGACCGTCCCGGCCGAGTGCTCTCGGTGAGTGCGCCGTCATGTTACCCCTCCATGATTTTTAACCCCACCACGAAATATCAGCCACTCCAAACATTTGACTCACGAGACACCAGGACCGTCCTGACCACCGATTCCCTCCGATCGTCTCATCGCCTCAATTGGACCAAACACCGCCATCATGAAGGCCGAGGAGCTCCAGACCCTCCCCACCGCCCTGGCCGGCGACTTCAAGTCGATCGAGCCTCACCTTCGCGCCCTCGACAAGCACTTGACGCTGCGCACCTTTGTCGAGGGGTACTCGCTGGGAGAGACCGAGACCAAGATCTGGCAGACCCTGAAGCTGAACAAGGTCGCCATGGGCTTCATTCGCAAGGGAACTATGGCCAACCTTACTCGTTGGTGCGTCATTCGTGTCCCTGGCTTCAATCAACTATCCCACCGACGCTAACCCGCGTTGCTAGGTTCACCTTTGTCGAAGTCACCTACCCCGAGATCCAAGCCGAGACGAACGCTGTCGATGCTGAGCGCAAGGCCAAGGTCGTTGCCGCTAGCAAGAAGGGTGCCAGCTACTCTCTTGCTCTCCAAAACGCCGAGGCCGGAGTTGTCACCAGATTCCTTCCTGAGCCTTCGTTGGTCCCCCGCTCTAGATACCACTTGCTTGAAAACCCCCTAATCATGTAACAGAGGATACCTTCACATCGGTCACGCGAAGGCCGCCCTTCTCAGCGACTATTTCGCCCACGAGGCCTACAAGGGCAAGCTTCTGCTGCGTCTTGACGACACCAACCCCGCCAAGGAGAGCGAGGAGTTCCAGGATGCCATTGTCGAGGACTTGAAGATGATGGGTATCACCCCCGACTCCCTTTCCTATACTTCCGACTACTTTGACTACCTGTACGAGACTTGCGTTCGTCTGATCAAGGAGGGCCACGCCTACGCCGACGACACCGAGCAGGAGACGATGCGCAACGAGCGAACCGATGGAATCGAGTCCAAGTGCCGCAACCGCTCCGTCGAGGAGAACCTGCGCATCTTCGAGGCCATGAAGGAGGGTACCCCCGAGGGTCTGAACAACTGCATCCGTGCCAAGATCTCCGTCGACAACGTTAACAAGGCCCTGAGAGATCCCGTCATCTACCGCTGCAATGTTGAGAACAAGCATCACCGCACCGGCGACAAGTGGAAGATCTACCCCATGTACGATCTCGCCTGCCCCGTTGTCGACTCTCACGAGGGTGTCACCCACGCCCTGAGATCGACCGAGTACACTGACCGTAACCCCCTTTACCAATGGTTCATCGACACCCTGAAGCTGCGTCAGGTCTACATGCACGACTTCAGCCGTATCAACCTCGTCCGCACCTTCCTATCCAAGAGAAAGCTCGCCAAGATCGTCGCTCAAGGCACCGTCTGGGGCTGGGACGACCCCCGTATGCCCACCATCCGTGGTGTGCGCAGACGCGGTATGACCATCCCCGCCCTCCGCGAGTTCATCATCAAGCAGGGCCCTTCCCGAAATGTCGTCAACATGGACTGGGCGTCGTTCTGGAACATCAACAAAAAGGTCATTGATCCCATCGCTCCCCGCCACACTGCCATTCTGGAGAAGGACGCGGTCAAGGTCAAGGTCACCGGTGCCGACGCCCCCGCCACGCCCCGCACCGAGGACAAACCCAAGCACCCCAAGAACCCCGACGTTGGCACCAAGAAGGTCGTCTTCTCGAACGAGCTCATCCTCGACCAGGCCGACGTCAAGAGCTTCAAGAAGGACGAGGAGTTCACCCTCATGGGCTGGGGCAACGCTTTCGCCCGCGAGATCGGCGCCACCGACCCCATCACCGATCTCAGCGTTGAGCTCAACCTCAAGGGCGACTTCAAGACGACCGAGAAGAAGGTCACGTGGCTGTCGACGGCCGGCACCAAGCTCGTCAAGGCCGAGCTCTGGGACTTTGACTACCTCATCAACAAGGATAAGCTCGAGGAGGACGACGTGCTCGAGAAGGTTCTCAACCCCAACACGTCGACCATGGAGACGGCGCTGTGCGATGCTGGCGTCGGTGAGCTGAAGAAGGACGACATTATCCAGCTCGAGAGACGGGGCTTCTACCGTGTGGACAAGGGTCTGGATGAGGGTGACGTGGTTGTTCTGTTCAACATTCCCACTGGCAAGGCCAAATAAGTTATTTCGCTGTTTCATTTGTAGGAAGATTCAGGCCATGAAAGACATGAAGAATTGAAGTATGAAGTAAAAGCTTGGTCTGGCCACTTGACTATTGAAGCTACCAAGTGACCCTAACAGCACGAGCTCAGTGCGCTCATGGGATCGAAGAGAGCATTCGCTCAACTTTTTGGTGATAAGAATCAGTACCGTGCACAATCTCTCAAGCCGTCTTGCCTCAACTCTCAATAACGTCGGCAAGGAATCCCAATTAGGCATTATGAGGTAGTTCTATGGATGGACTATTTACACCCGAGAATTGGAAGTGTTTTCTGCGTGTCCAGCAGACTTCTGAGCAGGGAGTAACGGGCATGAAGAGATAATCGGACCATTTGCCTTCATCAGCTAACTTTGACCCCAGATTTCCATCCCCGCGATTGAGGCGGCCTAGACCGGTCACCGTTCTCACCCCACTGCTTCCCGCATGTCTCCTGCAAGGATAACCCATTGCGGGGTCTAATAATGACAGCTTGTTGGTACTTCAAATTCGCAGGCAGACAAGCTACCTTACTTGGGTTCCAGCCTGAGAGGCCTTTTTTGAATCTCTCGAGATCGATCAAGCCGACTCATTCATGTCCGGCTTCTGGCTGGTTTCACCGGCTCGAAGGAAACCAGTCCCGGTGCGGCAGTAGAATTGGCACAGCAAAATTGCACATGTCAGGAAGCATGAGGCCTACCCAACCAAAAGCCTCTTCACCTCGTCATTCCGTAAAATGAGAAATGTGTAGTCCTTCCATGCAGTCGGACCGTAAGCGTGGGGAGGCGAGGTCCGGCCAAGATCGGGAGAAGCTCCCATCGTGCCACGAAGCGTACCTGATCTCGCCTCATCCTCACACCGACACTCTTGCATGAGATTCCACCAATCCTCCGCCATCGACTTGCGTCAGCTTAAATAGAAGCTGTACACGTTCTTATTTTCTTGTGGTCTTCAATCCTAGATATCAGGGTCACTTCTTGATAGCCTTATCAGACCCCGAGTCACACGCGTACCTTATTGGAATCTTGCATTATCTCCTGCAGCTAACGAGCTACCCTAGTCCGCCCATTCACCACTGTACCCAGTACTTTATCAAGGTCGTTTCCGTCGCAGTCAACCCAAGCTCATCGGGAACGAGATACTGTCTGCACGAATTTCAATAACATATACTCAGCTTCATTTAAAATGGCCGAACCCAACAATACACCCTGGCCCCCAGCAACACCACAATCTCAAACCCCTCGCTCCGCCTCGCCCGTCCTCTATCATCCTAGCGGTCAAATGCAACCTATCACGGCAGCACCGCAAGCAACAGCAACAACAACAAACGGCACCCACAAGCCCCGCGTCCTACACATAGGCGACCCGATCAAGTACAATCCGGAAATCTACGCCGCCTTCTCCGCGCAATGCGACATCATCCGTCCCTCGACACCCGAACGCCAGCGCCCCGCATTCGCCGCCGCATTACGGGACGGCAAGTGGGGCGACTTCTCCGCCGTCTTCCGCCCGTTCTGGGGCACGGGCGGCGAGATGGGTACGTGGGACGCCGAGCTGGTTCCGCTGCTACCTGCGAGCTGTCGGGTTTTTGCGAGCGCGGGTGCCGGGTTCGATTGGGCCGATACGCGACTTCTCGGTGAACGAGGTGAGCCTTCCCCCCTTCTCCCAGATCGCTCTATATTGGGTGAAAATATATCAACCATTTGTTGTGGGAATACCAACACCCAAAAAAAGGCATCATCTACTGCAACTCAGGCCTCGCCGCCGCCGAAGCAGTAGCAGACTTCGCCGTCGCCCTCGTCATCTCGACCTTCCGCCACCTCCCCTGGTGCACGACATCCGTCTCAGACCCGACCGCCTTCCAAGACTGCCACGCCCGCGCCACGGCCGCCTCGCACACCCTCCGCGGCCACGTCCTCGGCCTCGTGGGCATGGGCAATATCGGCCAGCAGATTGCACAGCGCCTCGGCGTCGGCTTCGGTATGGAAGTTCACTACTTTGACGTCGTCCGCAAAGACCCCGTCGCCGTGGAGGCAAAGTTTGGCGCGATGTTTCACGAGACGATGGAGAGCTTGCTACGTGTCTCGGACTGCGTTGTGCTGTGCACGCCTGCTGGTGGCAAGGTTATTACTGCGGAGTCGTTGGCTTGGTTTAAAGCTGGGTCGAGGTTTGTGAATATCGCGAGGGGTAGTTTGGTTGACGAGGAGGCTTTGGCGGACGCGTTGGAGTCTGGGCAGATTGGGACTGTTGCGTTGGACGTGCATGCCGACGAGCCGAGGCCGCATCCGCGGTTGCTCAAGATGGCGGGGACGAAGGCCATGTTGACATGTCACAATGCTGGAGGGACGGTTGAGACGCATAAAGGGTTCGAGGAGTTGAGTATGAGGAATATCATGGCGGTGTTGGGGGGAGGAGAGCCGATTACGCCTGTTAATCTGCATTGTTTGAAGCAGTGATGGGGCAAGCATAACACTGCTTTGTCTGTCTTTTCTCGGAGTCAAATAAACTACAAATAGGGTTTGTTCTTCACAGGAGAAAGAAGCTACTGGCTGAACTTGGATAGTTATATACACGACATGGCACTTTGCCTCTAAAATCATTGCCGAATAGCATAACGACTGTAATATGCCGACGAAAATCAAGATATATCAAAGTATAAGGTAGTCACCGAAAAAGTATTCCGTGATAAGACATTGATCTCAAGTATCCTGTACTGCTTGATCAGTCCATGATCCCGGCTGTTCAGCTCGCTCAGCCACTCATACTAGCTTCTTCAGCCCAACGGGGCTGCTTTGCGTGTCTGCCTGGAAATGGTGAGCAAAAGGCTCTCTTTCAGACTTCAAAAGCGACCCTGTTCCATGTCCTGAACACGAGCCTCGTAGTATAATATATCAAAGTCGTTCAACGGGAAGAACACCACGAATCTTGCAACATGTAATGGCAGCCATACAGAAGAACACTGAGCGCAGAAATGTGCAAAGCAATCCAATTGATAGGGAGCGCAAAGTTGCCCAACCCGAAAACCCACATTCGCCTTCTCACGATCCTCCCAGGTCGACAGACAGAAGAATTACGTTGTATCTGCAGCACTGTCAGACTTGATGACAGGCCACAATACAATACCCTGTTGTATGTCTGGGGAAACCGCGAGGCAAAGGCTCAAGTGACTGTGAATGGCCTTCAAGTTACGATCAACAAGAATCTGGCAGGAGCTTTGAGCCGTATCCGCCATGAAAGAGAGCCGATAGTTATCTGGGCAGATGCTCTATGCATCAACCAGAATGATGAAGATGAGAAAAAGTACCAAATTGATCTCATGCATCGCATCTACGGCGAGTGCGAGAACTGTCTGGTCTGGATGGGAGACATTGTAGTGAAAGGTGATAGCAGCGTCGCAGCGGAACTGGCTGCAAGAGCGGCCTTGAACGCTGTGCGTATCATAGCAGGGCAGCCACACGACGAGAAGCTCGGCTGGCCTAGCCAGTATCCATTTGCTACAAGCGTTGCTGGCAATGGTATCACTGCCGGGGCAGCCTTACAGTCGATGATGGACTGCGAATGGTGGCAGCGCATCTGGACCGTCCAGGAGGTCTGCCTGCCCCCGAGAGCCACGGTCCTCTGGGGGCCACTCGAGATCAGCTTCCAGACGATCATGGACGAGGCGAGCTACATTGTGCAACCAGATGAGCACCCGCAACACAATAACATTTTCGATCTTTTCCAAGAGGGCACCACTCTTTACCCGAGGCTTCATACAAGTCCGTTCACGATACCCGTCCTCAGCATCGCTCACGCTAGACTCTGGAACCAGTCTAGAACCGGCTCGCTATATAGACTAGACAGAAGGTCCACATATCCGAAAGACAAGCTGTTTGGTATCTGGGCGCTTCTCAACAAGACATACTTGCCTGATATCAGACCCACGGACTACGTCCTCGATATTGTGGTCTTGTTTTCCAGACTCATGATCAGTTTACTGAAATCTCTGAACAGCCTCAAGCCTCTTATCGGCTGGAGAGGGGGAGAGAGACGACCGGTCTGCCTACTTGGGTCCTGGACTTGGCCCAGCCGGAGGACTCCAAGTGCACCAACGATTTCTGGACACACGATATTGCTTGGAGGCAATTTCATGCCAGCAGTGGCCTACCACGATTCGAGCTACCAGTCAAGCAGGCAGAAAATCTCGCATTGCTCACTTTGAACGGCATTCGGGTTGACAAAGTGGCTACCATCTTAATGGACCTTGGGCACACGCAACGGTCCCTTTGGAGACATGGATTTGAAGACGCTTTCAAGAACCACGCGGGTAAAGACAACATCATGTACCAATATGACAGCCTCATCCAGGGAAAGTTCGGTGAGTATCATGAGCCCGTCACGGATGAGAGCTGGCGAGGGGGTCCATGGTGGGAGGACAGAATGCTCTCTTACCAAGTTCTTTTCATCACGCAGGAGAATCGGCTTGGCCTTGGCCCGCCTAATCTGAAGCCAGAGGACAATGTTTGGATTCTTTTGGGAGGACACCATCCCTTTCTACCCCGTCAAGTAAGAGAGGGATGTCGAGATACGGATATGTGGGAATTCGTTGGGGATTGCTTCGTTTATGGCATCATGTATGGAGAGGCATCTTCTGGTGGGTTTCAGTTGTCATCCGTAACCTCGTGTTGACGCCGGCCTCATGATAGTCTCACCATCGGTGGTTGAAAAGATCTCTCGTCGCGTTTCTTCAATTCTAGCTTTGGGAGATAGCAGTAAGAATGAGATCAAGATCTCATAACATGATATTACTTGGCGTCAAAGCATACCTTCCACTGCAAAAGCTCTGTCACATAACTGGCGCCATCTTTGCGTTCCATCTTTTGCACACTGCCCGTATTTCACGCGATAGCCCCCCAACGTAATCTCAAAGACTCAAGCGCGATTGAGTTTACGGTGTGACGATTCCTGCATCGAAGCTTCGCCAGAGAATTCGATAATTTGATATCCACAATTATTGATGATTATTATGTGAAATTCGAGGGCTCTTTAGTGAGGCGCATCTTACTCTTGAGAGACATCTCATTCAGTTTTAGTGCAGCAGAGGCGTAGGCAGATGACTGTGAATGAGGGGCACCTGGCGGCACGTGCGCCAATGTTGTCACGAGCCTCAGCTGAAAGTGCGCTGAGCTGAGCTGAGCGCAGCTGACGATGAAAGTTGGAATGAACATGTCGGAAACCGGACAGGCGACGGCATCATCTTGCGACTCTACGCACTCATCCACAACATACTGACTACCCTGATACCCTAGTCGGTGCTGTCGTCAATCATCATGGCCTCCTCGAAGCGCTGGCCAGCGCCCATCCACGTCTTCTCCTACCGCGCCCTGCTCGTGGTGCCCATTATCCTCGCCATCGCGACCTTCGCGTCGCTCTTCATCCACTCCGATGTCAACGTCGCCCTCCTCTACTCACAATGCGATGCCCGCGCTCGTCTGCCGGCCGTCAGCAAGGTGCCTGTTCTCGGCCCGCCCGTCTGCTTCGCCATAAGCTTCTTCCAGAGCGCGCTCGACTCCATGCGGACGTTCGCCAGCATGTCCGCCATCCTGTCCTTCATCGCCGGTCTCATGACCGTCACCACCATCGAAGCCGCACGCGTCTGCAACGCGCCCAATGTCGTGATTGCGAACCCCACTGGCCCCTGGCTAGTTTTCAATCTCATCGGTGGAGCTGTGGTCTGGCAACTCGTCATTCTACCCGCCTTCTTCCATCGCTCGCGATCCATTCTACTCGCTCGGAAGAAGGCCGGACAGGAGGCCGTCGAGAGCGCCGCATCCAAGGATCCCGACTTTGGCAAGGACTCGCGCCATCTCGTTGTCGATGCGGAAATTATTGCCATCCCTGTCAGCGTCGCGTGGGGCTTCATTCTGCCCTCCCTCCTGATGCTCATCTACAACTCCCCCGTCATCATCGTCATCTGGCTCTTCTTCCCCGTCTGGGTGTCACTGATCCGCCAAGCCGTCCGATGGGCGGCCTTGCGTGTGCAGAAGCGCCAGCACCGCAGTTTCTACCTCGAGTCTCACACGGTCTCGCTTTTGCTCGTCTACCTCATTCCCATACTTTGCTCTGCAGTCTCTCACGTCTACTTCATCTGGAGCTTGTTCCAGTGGGATGATAGGAAAGAGATGACACGCGCTACAGTCAAATTCGTTGAGATTGACATGTTCTTCATCGGCTTGACTGTCCTGTATTGGCTCTTCGTAGAGACCGGTTGGAAGGTCCCCTTGGTCGCAGTCCTTGGCACCATCCCACTCGGACCGGGTGCCGGTATTTGCATCGCATGGATATACCGAGATACCGAGATTCGTGAGAGTCTGAAGCAGTGGCTTTCTGATGTTGTTGGAAATCAAGAAGAGGCTAACGAAGAGGGTAGAGCTTCGGCTAGCGAGGAGACACCGCTATTGCATTGATAGTGTGACGAGATAGCAGCAAGCAAATACAAGCTGACACTCATTCATTGCCGCAGCGACAATCGTCTTTGCAATACTTGTCCTCGCATCTTGTTCTTATGCGTAGATAGCTTCTTTCCGAGATGTCTTTACAATGCCGAAGAGTCCGCCTTGTGCCAAGCATTTCGGCATCTTGATCTACATTCACACTTCGGAATCACTACTCAACGAAAGATATACAAGACACAAGCCCCCCGATTATTGATCTTCCCCGCTCGATCCTCAAGAAACGCCTTTCATCCGATTTTGAACGTCGGTATTTTTGTCTTGGCCAACATTACATGCACGGTACCGTTGAGAAAGATGGCACTACAGCCACTCTTCGAACTCTTCTTACGCGGAACAGAATCCTGCGGGGAGAAGCTCACAAGGTGAATGTTCCCTCTCCGCACGATACCCCGCGGGGACCCCAGATCTGTCCCCGGATCCTCATTCAAGGTTAATTGGTTAGTGTCGTTTGAACTACAGGCCTAGATTTTGTGTCTTGGTATCTGCCACTTCTATAAATATGGATCGGCCATCATAAGGAGATCTCTTTGTTTTCCGAGCTCATCAGCCTGCAAACCTGACGAAAGACGACTTCACAGAAATTCGCGTTGATATCTCAGAAGCTCACCTTCTTCACCATGGGTTTTGCTTCAGCAAAGGGGACAAACGACCCCCCTGAGGTTCGCAACTGGAGAATCCACTTTATTGCTCTTGTTGCTTCCATGGCCGCCTTGTCCAGTAAGTGAGGTCTTGGAGAACCCCACAGTCCCTGCGCATTTCCCTCTCTAACGCAGCACAAACCTGCAGTGGGCTATGATACGGCCGTCATAGGAGGCACAATGGCCCTCGACTCCTTCGTCCGCGACTTTGGCATCGACAAGATGACCACCCAAGAAAAGAATAACTCCCTAGCCAACATCGCCTCCATGTTCCAGGTCGGCGCCTTCTTCGGTGCACTCCTCACCTTCCCCATTGCCGAGAAGTATGGCCGCAAGAAGGCCATCATGATGGCGGCCCTCATCTTCTGCGTCGGCGGAGCAATGATGTCCGGAGCAAAAGGCATCCTCAAACTCGTCATCGCCGGCCGCGCCATTGGCGGTCTGGGTATCGGCATGGCTACCATGACAGTTCCAGTCTACATCGCTGAGACGTCGCCGCCGAGTATCCGCGGACGCCTCGTGGGTATCTTTGAGATCTTCTCCCAGGGTGGCGGGATGCTCGGGTTCTGGATCAACTACGGCACGAGCCGGACCATCGACGTTGAGAATGAGGCGCAGTGGGTCGTACCGCTGGCCTTGCAGCTTCTTCCGGCATTTCTTCTTTTCGTTGGCATCATGTTCTGTCCCGAATCACCCCGTTGGCTCGCTCGAGGTGATAACTTTGAGGCTGCGGAAAAGGTTCTGGTATACGTGCGAAGACTCCCTGCCGATCATCCCTATATCCAGAACGAGATGGCCGAAATTAGACAACAAGTTGAGGAGCGAAGTACCGTCCGACTCAGCAAGAAGCAACAACTACAGAAACTCCTTGCTCCTGGCACGAGAAACCGTGTTGGAACGGGAGCGTTTCTCATGTTTCTACAAAGTTTCACAGGGACTAACGTGATGACATATTTCTCGCCTCAAATTTTCGAGACTTTAGGAATCACCGGAACCAGTAACAAGCTATTCAGCACCGGAATCTATGGGATCGCAAAGATGTTGGGCATGATGCTATTCGCAGTTTGGGTCATCGAGGGCCTCGGCCGCCGCAGCGGACTTCTATGGGGCGCTTTCTTTGGCAGCATTCCCCTCTGGTACGTGGGCGGGTACGTCATGGTCGCTAATCCAACCGCCAAAGCAGAGGGCGGTGTTGTTCAGCAAGATGCGTGGGGTTATCTTGCCATGGTCTGCATTTACCTCAACGCCTTCATCATTTGTTCCACTATCCAGGGAATCACGTGGACATACGCGTCCGAGATCTTCCCCCTGGACATCAGGATGCTCTGTGTCGCGATGTCTACCGCGTGTACTTGGTTGGGATCCTTTATTGTCGCGAGAGCCACTCCTTTCATGATTACCGACCTCGGGTACGGGACGTTCTTCATGTTTGGAGGATTCCTGATCTTTATCGGCGTTTGGTCATTCTTCTTCATTCCGGAGACAAAGGGTCAGTTCTACTTATCGCCAAGAATGCCTCTACGCGCATGCCTTATGCTGACAATCTTACCATAGGTCGTTCGCTGGAGGATATGGATATTCTGTTTTCGCGGCCGACACATGTGGTTGTTTGGGCACAGCTCAGGGGAAGGCCAATTCTGTCGACAAATACTCCAATGTCGCCCGGAGCATCTATGGACAAAGGCGAAGTCAAGGTGGTTGACATGGCCTAGTGTGATATCAACCCCAGCTTCCTCTGGCGTTCAAGAAGAGTCTGTTGGCATTGCCAACCGAAAGACGCTGTCTTTCTTACCACGAATGCGTTACGCGTAGAACATATGCAACTAGTTCTCTTATCAATCTGCGGTTGACTTAGATAATCCGCGCATGGTTATAGGTCTTATAATAAGATCACTGTTTACGGAGAATGCATGACAGCGAAATAAATGAGGTAACCAAATCTTGTTATTCGCCGACACTTTCAAGACTTGGTCACCAAAGTCTTCAGGTGTCTAGACTACAAGATAGCCACTGCTGAGGGCGGACTAGCAACCCCGCCAGGAATATCCAAAGGCACACTGACCATCATGAAGGACCATCTCTGCAGTTCTTTACACCTCACAGCGAGCCTCTCCAAGTCGAAACTCTCTCCAATCGGCATGCCCCAACCACTCAGAAACACCTCATGCATGCTGACACCCCAAGGTTTTGGGCTCGGCCAGGCCTCGTAAGCGACAGTATCCGAGGCCACCGCAGCAAACGCATGATCCCAGTGCCAGCGAATCGCCTCTTCGCTCGCCTCGACGCCACAACTTGCTCGAACTTCCCGTTGGGGTAACGCAAGCTGCTCAGCGACGGTGAGCGCACGATAGGCTGATAGCCAGCCTGTTCGGACTAGCAGGATATCGCCTTGTTGGAACTCGGTTTTCTGAGCTTTT